AACTACAACCAACAACACAAACCGAAATAGTAAATGTTATTCCAACGGAGGAAACGGTTCTTCTGACGGCTCTTTGATCATGCACAAAATTAAGCTGACCTGCTCTTCAAATATGATCTCCCCACTGATGGAAGGACCTGCGTTCTTGTTTTCAGAAAATGTATGCTTTGTTGTTGTTGTCATGGACTCTGGCATTGGAAGCATTGCATCTCCACGGGTTAAACAAAGTAAAGGAAAGGAAAGAATATATAGGCCTATATAGTGTTCTGCTTGAACTGCAGCGCCGTGCCATGCTGTCATCCGCTCCCAGTGAGGAGTTGTTCATCGCAAACTTGCACCCTTGAATCATCAGAGCTCTCACAAGCAGAGAGACAGCGGTTGCACATATGAGCAGCTCACACGGTGCCGCGTCACTCCGAGGGGGACCGACAGCAGAAACGTTTCCTTCTGATAATCTCGACAGGAAAATTAGTCACAAAAGCGTTGGGCGACTTGGAGATTGTTTTTTCGTTTTTTCTTCTTCTCTCTTTTTTTTTTTTAGGTTTTTTGGAAGAAAGCGAATAATCGAAGCTGAGAGGCAGACGTGCGATATTGCCACAAATCACACGCGCGCACATCCCCGCTCAACGCGGCACGCGGTGGTTCTCTACTGTTAGTGACTTCTCCTACTGTGCGATGACTCCAAGCCAGTGTAACACAGTAGATGAAAAACACACGCACACACACACTCAAGAAGAAAAAAGAAAAAGGCGCGGAGGGAGAAGATCCAGCTGCGCGCCAGGCGAGCGGCAGACCTACTGCACGGTTGAGCGGCTCCATGCTCCACTCGTTACCGCATCCTGTTAGGGGCTGTTGATGCAGGAGGAAGATCGGTCAGGTATCCCGTTAAAAAAATAAAATAAAAACAAAAAAAAAAAGAAAGATTTACACCTTAAATCTTTTTCTTCTTTTTTTTTCTTTTTGGGGAATAAATTTGCCAGAGCAAAATAGAAGAGTAGTAGCCTAATTTTATTCAACAGCATATTTTCGGCACGTAAAATAAATAAAAAAATAAAAAAACGTCAGCTGTGTCTCGCGGACATCAAACGGTGAATTTTAAGCTCAGTGTGTGTGTGTGTGTGTGGTGTGTGTGTGTGTGTGGGTGGGTGGGTGGGTGTGTGTGTGTGTGTTGGAGGGGGGGGGGGGGGGGAGTTCGGCCTATAATGTTCCTCCGCGTGTCAGAAAGCAGAGCCTCGCGGCGTGAACGCGCAGCATATCCTGTCCTACCGGGGAGCTGGAGGACAGATGCTGAATGTGCGGCGGGGGGAAGCAAAGCGGAGTCAGATGGGACAAACACTCTTTGATGAGGTGAGCTTGTCAGGGCTAAAGTCACGACTGGCTTAGGAGAGGAGGGGGCTTGACTGGGAGGCAGAAACCAGTGCAGGCACTGGATGGGCATGAAACGAATATAGGCATAAAACATCATGCCTGATTAAAAACCGCTTTTTCAGCTGGTTTAATACCTGGAAACCAACCCGAGCTCCTGCTCGAATTGGATGTCAGAATTAAAGCTAATAAATGTGATTAAGCTAGTGGCGTGAAATAGACTCAGTCGCTGTTCATACTTCATCTCGGAGATTTCCGACCCCACCCGTGACGCCCCCCCCCCCCCCCCCCCCCCCAGCTCCTCCCGAACTGCTAGTGAGCTCGTGCGGCCGTGCGCGTCGCGGCCCGCGTGAAATGATCCCCGCTGAAACCGAACTCCGCCGCGGTTCCCGCAAAAGGGGGCCATGTTTACGGCTATTGCAGATTTAATTACTGCTATTCACGTGTATTCATCCATGAATTTGTTAGTTGATCTTTTGAGAATGTTTGACAATGCGAACCATATTTCTGGTGTTTTTCTGAAACTCAATCACTTTATTTTATTTTATTGTTTTTTTTTAACCTCATCTTCACAACGAGGTGCCAGATGCATGTCAGCATTCTCAAACTATCTATCTATATAATATATAAAGCTATTTTAAACTAGAAACCACTTCTCTTTTTTTTTTGCTTTGAAATATAACCTTTTTTGGGTGTTTGTGTTTTGTTTTAATTTTATTTCAATATTAAAGCAAAGTTCAACTTTACAACATGAAAACAAACTGCAAAACCCCCCCTCGCGGGATCCAAATAAACTAACATCTGCGCCTCCAAGTAGTCTTAATTTATTTTTGAAAGAGGCCTGCAGTATCAAAGGCCTTTGTCTCAATGACTCTGAGCAATAAAAGCCTGTTTGGGAGCAGCGGGGGCGGGGGGGACAGAGAACACAGAATGGTTCGCTGTGTGATGTGGCAGCGGGGAAACGTCTCGCTGGGAGACTGATGTGTAATTAGACTCTGAGGGTGTGAGGTGGGAGACGGCTGCAATGAAGAGCCTCTCGGAGGGTAGAGGATGCCCTCTAGTAGAGGTGAGAGGGGCAGCATCCTCACTTCACATGAAATAAGACGAATGCATGGTGCATGGTGCAAAAAAGACAGGATGCCTGTCTTTTTTGGACCAAACACATTTGTCTTTCACGCGTCTTGGTGTTCACGGCAAAGATGAGAGGAGCAGCATTCTCATGTAACGTTGAGCTGAAAATAATAATTATGATTTAATTGGTTAATTTTTTTTGATCCCTATTGCTTTGATGAGAATATTAGATTTGTGTTTTTTCTGGATTTTATTTAATTTTTTAAAAGAAGAAAAAAAAATTCTGCTTATTTTCTTGATTTTTCTTCTCTCTTTTTTGTGGTTTTCAATAAACAAAGCATCAGCATGTATATTTAAATACACATATATTTATTTTTTTTCTTGTTTCTGTTTAATGCTGATGTGTGGACGTGAAGTTGCAGTTGGTGTTTTTCCAAATTAGATTTCATTCAACTGATCATTTCAGTTCTTATTATTTATTTACTCATTTGTTTATTTTTATCAATTTATGTCTTTCCTTTTTGATTTTATTCCTACATTTCAAGCTAGATTATTTTAAGGGGATGCTGTAGCCATGGCAGTAACATCAGTGCAACATGAAAAGCATATTTAAAATAAAATTTAAAAAAAACTAAAAGTGTGATCTAAAAGCCCCTTTCCAATTGAAAAAAAAAATAAATAAAAGGCCTCTGGGTGATTTGGGTGGGTGTCTCTGTGTTGTCAGCTGCAATTCTTCTGGAGTTTATTTTTATTTAACGCAACACTGCTGCGCATCGCACTCTTGTCGTGTTTCAATGAAGTGGAAGGAAACGAAAATGTCAGACAATTAATAAGATTCAGAACATTTCTTCTTTTTCTTCTTCTCTTGCTCCAAAAGAAATTAAACACGATTATAACAACTTGTAATTTTGTATTTATTTTTTTTATATTATTGTAAACTCGGGCAAATTTGCAAAATATATATATATATAATATTTTATAATAAAAAAAAGTAAATATCATTTTAAAAAAAATCTTTCTGCGCTGTATGCATGTGGTTTTGTTTTTCTTCTAATGAAACACGCATGTCATTGATTTAGCTCATCGTGTGCGGCCCGAAAAACCGTTGAAGTTTTGTTTTGTTTTTTTGTTGTTTTTTTTAAACTCGACTCGGTTGTCTGCTGGATGGAGAGTTTAGTGGTGGGGGGGTGGAGAGGACTTCAAGGCAGAAGACCTGCTTGCGGCTGCACCTCGGCTTACACCTGCGCAACAGCTCTCCCCTGCGCCCGGAGTGAAACCCTACTCCTGCGCGTCCTACCTGACTCACCGCTCTCCGGTGACTCAGTGGCTCCGGCCCCTCGGTGGGGAGCTCAGTCCGAGACGCTTCTTACTTGGCGCACGTTTTCTCGAGCGCCGTAACTCAACACGCTCTGACTGGAAATGACAGCCTCCGAACGTCAGGAGCGCGCTGCCGGTCCACGGGAACGGTGGTGTCACGTCGGTACGCATACGGCTTACACGCGCGCCGCGTAACCCTCTAGTTGGGGTTGGGTGGGGGGGGGGGGGCGCAGAGACGACGATGAACAAAAAACGATTGTCCGCGTTGTGCGTGGGGGGGGGGGGGGGCAGAGCGCGCATTAGAGGCGTGATAGATCGCGGCGCAGCGCGGAGGCAGCGGATCTGACTCCAGACACCACGTGTTGGAGTCGCATCAGCGCAGTTAATTGCCGGGGCGCTTGGGATATATAAACCACAAAAACGCCTGCGCACGGGGAACCCCGGCCCTCCGAACACTAACCACATTCACGGCCGCAAAACGGGATTTGGGTTTTTTTTTCTCTCTCTCTCTCTCTTCTTCTTCTTCTTCTTTTCCCTTCCCTCCTCCTTCATCTCACCGGCGATCATTACTTCTCTCTCTCTCTCCGTCTCTCTCTCTCTCTTTTCCTCCCTTCCCCAGGCTTTTTAACCCTATACACAAAACCTGCTCCGCGGCCGGAAAGACCTCCAGAAAGATTTGTTGAATTTTGCAGGCGTCGCGGGATTATAAATAGGCTTGTTAAGTATTGTTGAGGCGTAATCTTTTCACTTTGAAACTTTCCTTTATGTGTACATAGCCCGCGGGTTTCCAGAGCGCCTTTCAGTTTGGCACAAAGACTTCAATGACGCACCTGGAGGAGCGCTTTGACTTTTTTTTTTTTTTTTCTGTAAGCAAACGAAGGCAGAGAAAAACCTTTTAACCGTCTGGTTTAACTGTATAACCAGGTAGCGCGGCTCGGAGATTTATTTGGTGTTATTACAGCGAGAGCGCGCGCCTGCGTTATGGCACGTGGATTCCTCCCTGGAAAAGCGCTCGATTTAGAAAAAACGCGTCCTTAAAAGCTTCTTTTCTTTTTTTTTTTTCCTTTTTTTTTCCACCCGCGGAAGAAAGTCTGCTTTGTAGTCGCGAGAGTTTTTAGAGCGCTTCGACCGAGCCGAGGGGCCGCGAGTTGTGAGAGAAAGCGCAGAGAGAGAAAGAGAGAGAGCCCCCCTCTGCACTGCAGCGCCTTTTCCGCTAATCCACGGTGTTGTGATGCGAATTCCCGTAGATCCCAGCGCCAGCCGGAGGTTCAGTCCGCCGTCCAGCAGCCTCCAGCCGGTCCCCGGGAAGATGAACGACGTCAGCTCCCCGGCGGGCCAGCCGGACGCGGCGGCCGCCGTGCCGCGGCTGCGTCCGCCGCACGAGAACCGCAGCATGGCCGAGATCATCGCCGACCACCCGGCCGAGCTGGTGCGCACCGACAGCCCCAACTTCCTCTGCTCGGTCCTGCCCTCCCACTGGCGGTGCAACAAGACGCTGCCCGTCGCCTTCAAGGTGAGCTCAAAGCTGCTGGGTTGCAAGGAATCCCAGCAGGAACTTTTTTTTTTTTTTTTTTGCTATGTAAATACACTGAATAAAAGCTGACTTAAATTTATCCCTTTTTTTAAATTACTTCTACATTTGTAATTAATACTATTGCTCCAAAAATATTTATCATAGTCCTTTTTCATTTTGAAATCAGTTTTTGTAAAGCACCAATTTCTATAAATGACACCACAACATTTTATTTTATTTTTATAATTTTTATTGTCGTCTATGTCAACTTATGAGATAACTCCACTTGTTTTTTTCTTTCTCTCTGATTGATGCGTCGATTTTAACTCCTTATTACATTTGTGCATCAAGAAAATCATTGAGGTGATTTCACAGCTTTAATGCAAAATAAAAAAAAAAGTAGAAATGTGTCAGACAAATGTTTTTTTATTATTATTATTTCTTAAACAGAAAAGCAACAACTACACTTCCTACTGTAGTTTGGAATTACAGTATTGATTTTGATTATTAGACTTTCTTGTGAGCCTGTGAAGTGGGCTGGCACTGTGAAGAAACAGGTGGAGGAGGGGTGGGGGTGCAGTAGCTTCATACAGCCAGAGAAAACTTCATTCATCCCTGCAGCTCATTAGATATGCTTTAGGAAAAGTAAGATGACGATGATGGAGTGTTTTTAACTGCTTTGTCACAACAACATTTTTAAAAAACCCTCTGCAAATCTTCTCATCAAAAACCAATTTAGTTTGTAATGTCATTGACAGCTACTGAAATTATCATAACAAACTGAAATCCTTTAACCACATTTGTTTGCCGCATCCATATTTAAACACTCAGACACATCAGCTTTTATTCGACGAGATTTATTTGGTGTTTTTAAAGTGTAAAAAACAAAAAAGAAGAAGGGAGGGGGAAGAGGTTCCAGGAATAATGGTTTTAACATTCTAGGCTTTTGAAGCCTCTTCATTTATTTTCTTTCCTCATATTCCGATGATTAAAAAAAAAAAGAAGAAAAGAAAAAAAAGGCCCTTTTAATTAGGTGGCATATTACTCAAAGGACAGATCAAAGACCCTCGTCAGTGGAAATGTATAGCTGAGGCTCTGGCTTGGAATTAAATGTGACAACTTTCTGAAATATAAGTGTTATTTCCTCCGTCGTTATTACGAGGGGGTTCTGTAATTATCGCGGGGCCTTGCTCGTCCTCTTTTATCCGCGTCCAAGAAGCTAAATGATAACACAAGGCCTCCACGCTCAAGATGGTTAACATCATAACATTTATCTTACTGTCAGATCGCTGCAGAGGGACAAATTAAAAACCATCCATCAAAATGATTTGGAGGATGGCATGATGGGGGGAAATAATAAAGGAGAGCAGAAAGTATTCGTCCATTTATTTATTTTTTTCTTGTATCAGTATTTCTTAGATTTGAAAAAGTGCTCGATTAAAAGAAAACACCTCGTCTCCTCGACAGGTGGTCGCCCTGGGCGACATACCCGACGGGACGGTCGTCACGGTTATGGCGGGCAACGACGAGAACTACTCGGCCGAGCTGCGGAACGCCTCGGGCGTGATGAAGAACCAAGTGGCGCGCTTCAACGACCTTCGCTTCGTGGGCCGCAGCGGCAGAGGTGAGGCCTCAGACTCTCTCCGTGCTCGCCGCCGCAGCCTGCAGGGAGCCATTAGGGCTCAGTGGTGTGGATTAGTGGCCACATTCCCCCAAAGTGGCAACCACATAATGATCTCCCTAACTCCAGGGGCTAAATCCCACAGCCCATATCCTTAAGAGAGGCCAATAACGTCGCTTCTGCAAGTTAATTATCCACAATAAGCAGGCGATGCTTCTTGAAGTCCGAAATATTTTATGATTTTATTTATTTATTCTAATAAAGAAGCAATTTCCCCCTTTTTTTTCTCCCCCCTTTCACCTTGCATAACCTCGGCTCGGTACAGGCCTGTAAACATGCTGGGTGGTGCTGCCCCCCCACCCCACACCCCTCCTCCAGGCCCCCACGGCTGATCGCTCTCTGCCCACATCCTCGGGCTGCCGGAGTGAAACAAACTCCTGTTCAGTCCAATAACATTCCTGGAATGCTTGGCATCACCAGGCGACAATTCGGATCACTCGCTGCTCCCATTGCTCTTAGTAAATCATCATATTTGCAGTCGTGACGCTTGGCACTCACTGCTTGCTCCCAGCCGTTCCCCGTTTCTCTGGAACGCTCCGTTCCCCGCCCTCCTCCCCCCCGGTTAAAGCAATCGCAACAGGTAGCTGTCGGTTAAAAAAAAAATTAAAAATGGGTCGAGACGGGCATGAGCGCAGAGGGGTCGCGTGGACGCCCGCGACCGGTTGCCACGGAAACCTTTCCTCGTGCGGCTTTTGCTGAGACACAGAATCCCGCAACAGGAAGTGACACAGGAGCCCGGAGGGTGGATCGGACTACGAGGTGTCTGAAATGAATACCCTCCAGTGACAGATAAGTACAAGCGGAGAGAACTGATAGCATGTCAGATAGCTAAAAGTCATGGCCAGAGAGGAGGCGGACGGGGATCGATAATTACAGGCCTGATGTGGACGACGATAGCGTGGACGCATGGGGCAGGTTATTTAGAGAGGAATCAGATACTCCTGATAAGATCTTTGGACTTAATGGTGTTCCACAGGAATCAGCTAATAATAGGAGCCCAGGTACCGCTTTCATATCCCTTTGACGTTTTCACGCGAGCGCAACACAACCACAGGCTTTCAGTGTGCACCTTCTGTGATAAGACATGAAGAGTGGCTTCACAAAGTGAGAATCAAATCTGGAAAGTGCAGCATGCTTTTTGCATCCACCTTTCACTGCAGGCACAGCTGCCAGTCCTCTTGTGGGGGGGGATGCACAGGAGAGCATCTGTGGACGGCCATTTTTAAATCTCAGTTGGGTTTATGGTATAGATGTGTTATAAAATGCTGTGATATGAACCCATCTCTGAAGCTCTGGTTGTATGTTTAGGGTCATCACTACATATAAGGTTCCTGCTTCAAACAGGTTTTTGTCCAGGACAGTCCTTTTAGTAGTTCCCTACATTTTTCTGAAAAACTAAAATTCTACCTGGAGATGCACTGATCCGATATCTATATCTGTATCGGTCCCAATATTGAAAAGAAATTCTAGATCAGGTATCGGCGGCAGTGCGTCCATTACGTAAGGGCATGGTTCACTGTTTATTTTACATTTTATTTAAAATTCCTGACAAAAAATGCTCCTCAGAAAAACCGACGCCTGTTGAGCACCAAACTGAAGACTTCCACCATCCAGAGGGACAAAAGAGAGAAAACAATCGTTTGAATTCGTCACGTGATCGACAGATTTATTGTTTATGGCGACAGGCATAGATGTTGATACGGCCCCTCTTGCACCTAAGTGGAGTATGTGGGTCACCTGTCGCCGCTTCTATCTGCCCGGTCCATCTCATCCCGTCTTTGAGAGCCATGTTTACTGAGGTTGTAAAGTGGAAGAGAGACGAGGGGAAGGTCCTTGAACCCAGACGGCTGCGAGTGAATGGGCAGCTGCTCCGTCTCCTCTCCTCCCCTCCCCGCCTTCCCGTTTCCCGCTTGCAGCCACGCTTGCGCGGCGCGTCTGCATACCTCGGAAGTTAGTGTAGCTGCTGACTTGGCTGTTGTGATATGATTCACAGCATTCCTCGTGCATGAACATGGGAATACACACGCTTGCACAGACAAGCGCTCAACCCCAAGGCAACAACTGCTGGGGATTATCAAGAAAGGAAGTGACTATTAAAATGCCTCTCGCCGTCCCACACAGCAGTAGAGATTCTTGATAATGAGATGCTGGCTTCTGCGGTGCAACTTGACCAAACTAAACTGAACACTTAGCTAACCAGAGCTCACTTAATGTTGCTATTTTGTCATGATTCTCTTTAGGCCAACATCTCCTTGTAATGTGATCGCTGCGACACTCGTGACTTAGGAATGGTTTTAGAGATAAATGCCAGACATTGTCTTTGCAGATGGCATATCCTTTGATCTTCTTTGATGTCACCACAGGCAAGAGCTTCACACTGACAATCACGGTATTCACCAACCCACCGCAAGTGGCCACGTACCACCGAGCCATAAAGGTCACCGTGGACGGACCGCGTGAGCCCAGGAGTGAGTACCGATGCATGCACTCGCAGCACAGTAAGAGAGCGTGCCGGAGCGCACTAAAAACATTTCTTCCACTTGAGTTTGTCTTGAGAAAGATGAGTCAGTGAGTGACAAAACAGGAAATAAAAACACATTTTTTGAATTTTTTTTTATTTTTATTAAAGCACAAGACAAGAAATGTGCTCTTATATTTCCCTCATAGTCAGTTTAAACTTTGAGATATTGGATCTACTTGTGAATCTGACACGTGGAATTGCCGATTTTTGTTTTCAACTGATAGTCAGTGAAATTATTAGGAATTCTTCTCTTGTAATCAGATGTCATGTCGCAGTTAATTTGTCACAAAAAGTCATATTTGCATATAAAAGTTGCGTCTTCTCAATGCGATCTCTTCAGTTGGATAGTTTACAGGTATGTAAATGTGCCGACAATGAATACCTGCAATGTTTTGATGGTAAAGTTAACAGAATCTCAATCAGTTTTTTGAGATGTTAAAACAGTCCTGCATCTCTCCCATTCAACGTGAATCAGATAAAAAAAAATTGTAGAAAATTTGTGGACACTGTTTTTTTGTTTGTTTCTTTTTTGATAAGCTTGGACCTGCAACATCTTCCATCTTCCCTGCATGTCCCTGGAAATATCTTTGAGCAAAATCCAGCTGATCCAAATTCACCATGAAATCCAAACATCAGGATTGGGGTTGCTCAATATGTTTCCAAATGTTCTCACCGGTTTTACAACAATCAGATGCCAAAATCAACTAAGCTGTCGTCCCCAAGTCTGACTGGCTATTAGCCTTCCACCACTCTGACAGTTTCGCCTTCCACTAGTCTGACAGTTTCTTCTCTTATCACCACTTCTCAGTGCCCTGCTTTAGATGTTGCCAATAAAATAAAAAAGCAGCAAATGCAAAGCTTTATAAGCTGATATCAACCATCTAGACTTTCACAGGAGACATTTGTTAGGTTGCAGCTGTGCTTAGATGCTGATCATTTTACTTTCTCAAAAAAAAAAAAAAAGAAAATGGTGAGGGAGTGAAAATGGTATTTTTGTTGGTTTCGCATGCAAATGTTCCCGGGGTCGGACGGGGGCCGTCCTCTGCAGCGGTGTTTCCCAATGCTTGTCCTCTTAGGACACTGCCCTGCATGTTGTAGGTGTTTCCCTGCTTCAGCCTACCAGAGTTTCATTAATGGCTGATTAACAACATTTTACTGAACTGCAATCATCTGATTTAGGCAGGTTACAGCAAGGAAACATGTAACACACGCAAGGCAGTGTGCCTTGACGACCAGGGTTGGGAAACACCAGACTCTTTAGGACATTCCGTACCAAGAATGCGTCATTTTATACGCGCCAGTTCTTTGTATTCTACCTGACCATTTAAAGTGTTTTTTTTTTGTTTATTATTATTATTATTATTATTATTATTATTATTATTGCACTCATTCTTGGCTGTAAGACAGTGATTATCGTGGTTGTGTGATTTAAGTTAATTCTGCATAAGAAGGAAGTCATTTGGTATTGTTTGGATTTGACCAAAGGCGATTTATCTGTCATCTTTCAAGTCAAACCAGAATGAATGAAAATAGCGTACAATGCCTTTAAAGGATATCAACATAATATTATGTTATGGTAATGTAATATTTTATTTTTATGGCTATTTACTTCCATTGTTCATGAAAATATGTAACTACAAACATAGACAAATTGATACGAAAAAGTTCCAGTGCATGAGCTTGAAGCAGTACAGAAATGGAAGTAGAAAGCAATGAAATAGCAATGTACAGGTAAAATTGGGTTCAGCGCTTAAAGTTGTAGTTCAAATTGAGTCGGTAAATTTCTGAAAGGAAATTTAGAAAGAGAGAAGGAGGAGAGGAAAAAGGCTAACGGTACGAGACGTGACATTATTTGAACTAACTGTGACAACTGATGGAATCGAAGCACGAAAAACTGCATTTCCACAAGAGGCGTTTGCCAGTTACTCTGTGAAATTATCCAATCAGCTATAATGCTTCTTTAATTTGAATAATTCTTTTTAAAAAAAACTCCTTATTGTTCCAAATGTCGCAGGTTGTCGCTAAATCCAAATGTCTCAGCTGTCGATGGGAAGACATTAAGTTGGAAGAACAGCTATAAATTTACCAAACTTGTGAGTGTGGGCATAAAATACACTGATATAGTGTGAATTGTTTTGGTGTGCCTTAAAACTGCTCATTCAACTGGATCTTTAGTCACAACGTGACAAGCTATCAGCCTTTCTACATTTACTTTTTCTGATAAAAACTCCACTGGACCTGAAGAAGTCCTTTAAGAGCCAAAGAATTTCCTCTGGTTTTCACAAACTGAGCTGTTTGATGTTAAAAACAAGAGCTGCGCTTTAACTAAACCGTAGAAGTGGCCCAACAGCCAAAAGCAAAAGCTAATCGATGGGAGACGCTAAGGTATTTTAGCTGAAAATTTCCGACATGCGCAGGCTGACAAGCGATAGGAAGTTAAGTGAAGACGAAGCGATGTTCAGTTTCCTGTCTTACATAAATGTGAGACAAAGTATTCCTGAAAGGGTACTCCGGGTAGCAGAGTGCTAGCATCAGCTTCTTTTAATGGCCCACATAAAAACAACTGAGGAGGAAAAAAAAAACTTTACTGTAGACAACAGTGCCAACTGGTCTGGCATGCAGCTGTTTCCACAACCCTCCTCCCTATTCATAAAAAAAAAAAAAAAAACAAGATATTCTCATCTCAAGGCGTCTCAGTGAACAATATCACATCACAAACAATCCACCCACCCAGCCTGCCCGGTCACATATGGCACCAGGACACAGAGGAGCCAGGAGACAGTAGGATTACTACCACCATCACTCAGCGTTGTAGGAAACCGGCGTTCGGTGCCAGAGAAACGCCTCACGCACACCCGACAGTCAGCGCTGCTCAGACATGGCGCCCCGAGACAAAGGCACATGCTTGTCCTCGAAGCGCGCATGCTCTTGCAATCACGCCCACTTCATTTCCCCCACCACCGCCGCCGCCGCCACCACCTCCCTTTTGCACCAGTGTTTGATCAAAAGCATTTCCTGTGCATCTGCTGTCCCCCGTCACAGGACTTTCAAACAAGTCCCATTACTCGGTGGCGAGCAGATGGGAGTCGGAACTGAGTTTGTTTAGAAAACCAGAGCAACTGCACAGGAGGACTCCTTGTTTTGTTGAGAATAAATGGGATGATAGAGTTTTGCTTGTTGTGAGAAAGAAAGAAAAAGTTATTCGACTTTGCAAACCTTGATTGTTCCGTGCATCGTCTCGCAAAAGTATACAAACGGCCACAGATTTTTTTTCACATTCTGTCAAGTTTCTGTGTTTATTGGAATTTTGTCTGATACACCCATACGTAGTTGTGCAGGATTGCAAGACGGGAGAAAATGATTCACAAACAAAATGTGGCGTGCGTCTTGATGCATCCTCTGAGTCAGTACCAATTCTTGCTTCAGCTACAGCTGCAAGTGAGTTAAACTAAAATCCTACCAACTATTTTTAATTGTAAAAGAAGCTCAAACTGGAGAACATCTGAACATAAAACCTTTAGTTGTAGCAAAGATTCTACTATTTGAAAATGTTTGTATCTAACCAGCAGAGATTTAACTCTATTCCAGCCTCTAACCGTTTATATTTGTGTTGATCTTTATTACTTACTTCCATCCACTGCTGGAAAAAGGATTCCCCACAGCATAATGCTCCCACCGCCTTGTTTTCCCACGGGGGTGGTGTATTCAGAGTGACATGCAGCGTTAAGTTTCCAGCCACACACAGCGTTCTGCATGCGGGCCAAGAAGCAGAACTGTGGTCTTTTCTGAATGCTGCCTGGTCCCCTACATCGTTTCTGGCAAACACTAACGGGACTTGTGCAGCGGCTCTCTTTTTACCACAGGACATATCCAGTTCGTGACTAACTGCGTTAGATTTGTAGTTGTGCCCACACTCCTTTCATTTCTGGATGATGGAGCAGTTAGTTGTTCTGATTTTAGTTTGTGCTGTAGCTCTGTTTTAAACATTTCCATGACTTCCTCCCTGGCCTGTCAGGGGTTTTTCTGGCCTCATGATGTGGCTTGATCACACATGTTCACTAATGAAGTCTTGAGGACTTTGGAGAACATTCATATAGATATTCAGGATGTTTTCATACCTGATGGTTCGGCAGACTCAGTTCAGCTGGGGACCAAAGCTGCTACATTTGTTCCATTTTAAGCCAGTGAGGTTCACTTTCACACTGCACTTAACCCTTTGAGCAACGTGTTCCCCCGCTTGCCTCTGGTGGCACTGCACCAAGAAACACTGAAGGAAAAAACATAAAAACCTCTGAAGAAGACACAAGCGCAACTTCCTTCTTCACGAAATAGATATAGAAATGGAGAAGAGTCAGATTTTAACAGCTGTTGGATTTCTTGTTTGTCTTTGTTAAAAGACTATGAGCCATTTCTCCTGCTCGTGTTAATATCTCATCTTTGTTTTGGTTGTGTTTACCCAGAATGCCCGGCGGTGTACTCCGCTACCTGCTTTTTGAGCGATCTCCAGTTCATTTGCCGTTTGCATTTAACAACCAGACCTCACGCCAGAATTCACTTCAACCGGACCGAGGCCTAGGTTTTTAGGCGAACCAGAGTTTATGTCTTTGGTCCGCATCAGAAGTCGATTGCACACTTTCCAGGTAAAAGGATTAGAGTTTGATTAAAATGGGCTAAACAGAGCTGGTGTGAATGCACCCTCAGTTATACACACCTGGGCTGATTAGGAGACCTCTGAAGCGAATTGGTTTATCTGGACTTTGTTTAGGTGTGTCATTGTGAAATGGGCTGAATTATCTTTTAACAGTGAGCTGGATTCTATCTAAAGGGTAGGTAGGATCTAAAATTCTATGGTGTTGATAGGATTGTAGATCTGCATATTTATTAGACCTCATTAAATGTCATTATGAACTAATAGACAGGGAGGACAACCAGCTCTTGGTTACTCTG